CTGTACTGTTTGGTTCGACTCCTGCTGATAAACCGATGAAGGCTCCGTGATCTCTCAGCACTCAGTCACCTGGTTTTCTGCGTCACTAACAGTTCGTTTCCAGATGAAGATGGCAGTAGCTGAAATGCTGAGATTCTTTGGACCCACAATCGATCCCTGAGGAACTCCAACTTTCATTTTGGCAGGGTGCAGCGTATTTCCATTATAAGGAAGGATCTTAACGAATCGTCGATTCGTAGACGTCACAGTGTCGTGTTGTTCCAGCTGAGAACATCAGAAACATCCAGACTTGTTGGTTTTTGGCTTGAGATAAATTCAAAGTTTCTTCATGTTCTGTTCACAGCTTTAGTTCTCCTGGAAGTTTGAAAACTATTTTTAGGCCAAAGGATTCACGGTAAATGAACCATGTAAATCTACTTCCCACAGAGAATGTTTTGTTTTTTTCACAGCAATCCAAACGTCTGTGGGGAAACAAGAGCTCGCCAAAAGTGACGCCATCGTCGTTTTCACTTTTTATGATTTTCTCCACTTCAGCTGTCTTTACCTCCATCTGTATCTTTCTGTCTTTGTCCATCAGTTTTCTGGAGGAAGTGATGTCGGCGACAGGTCCCAGCAGCAGCAGCAGCCGAGCACACGGAGGTGGTTTCCATAGCAGCAGGCGCTAAGCTTCTTCCTCTCCTCCAGCTCTTGTGTGATGAGCAGCATCGTTCCCTCCGTCTGTTTGTTTGAAATGTTGGACATCATCAGACCGTCCCTGTGACATTAGAAACAATAACTGTAACTGACAGCAGAGCCGCTGCACAGCACGGCTCAGACTGGACTCCGCTTTAGTGTAGATATTGTCTTTTAAAATGAAAAGATTTCAAAGGTTTTCCCCTTCGTGTGTGTTAAAATACAGAATCCAGGACGTCTGGCTTGTCCTCAGCCTCACACTGTTACTGAAACGACCACTGTGGCCCCTCGGAGCCACTGACAGCAGGCAAAATGACATAAAAATGAGAGGCAGACAATTCATATAACAGACTACAAGCTATCGTCTGACCTGGACTAACATCGCTGGTCTGCAGCCGGCTGTGAGACGAGTGCTCAGAGACTCAGCAAACGTCACACATTCACTTACAGCTTTGCTCTCATACAGTGTTTCACCTTCAAAAGCCCTGATCGTAGCCCCACTGCTTACCTTTGCTGTAAATGTCAGACGAAGCTCATTGGACCATCAGTCAGTAACGCTGCTGCTGGACTTACATTTTGTGGAACGTCCCTTTAAAGTGTCTGTGTGGCTGACTGTGGTTGTTTCAAGTTTCAAAGCACTAATAAATAAAAATGTTCACACAAACGGTGTCTCTGTTAAGATGACGTTGGACATGGATCTTCAGTGTCTCCTTAGAGGACAGATCTCAGTGGTTCTGGAGAGACTCTGAGCACTGCCACACCAAACACAAGGAGCCTGATGAGGTGGTTCAGGCACCAGGATGCCTCCTAGGTTAGGTGGAAGGAGGCCAGGACGCACCCAGGAGCTGTAGCAGTAAAAACAGAGCCTGTGACCTACAGCACAAATCTCTCTACTATCAAATAGGACACATGAATAAGGAAAACATTGGAAAAGCACTTTGTGGAAACAAAATAAAGGTTATTCAGTTTCAGCCTAACCCAATCTTTGCCATGCTCTGTGTCCAGCTTTGCAGACTGATGCAAGTCCATCGGTACGAGAACAGAGAACATGGACTCTTCTGGAAGTGGATAGAATCCTTGAATATCCTGAATCTGTCCAAACTGTTTATGCCGTCTTACTGGCAGGTGCAGAGAACTTAGAGTTTTTTGTTTACTTGTTGTCGCTGTGATATTTGTTTTTAACCCACTGCACAGAGACACAACAGGCTGAAGTGTTTGGAGCATTTAGGAAAGATCTGAGTCTCGGGGAGCTTTTGGCTCCCATTTTGCAAGAAAAGCCTTTAATGAGATGCAAATGCACCTTCACTACAGTATAACTGTGTTCAGTGTGGGTTGATGTGTGTGGGTGAAACAAGTGAACCTCTGAGAGTCTGCTTATAGCCTTTATGCTGTGTGGATAGGTGGACTGCACACCTGTAACAAACCTGTGCAGGCTGGGTTATGGTGGCCCGGCAGCCAGTGGAGGCGAGTGCAGAAGGGTTTACCTTCATTCAAGCAAACAGGTGTAAACCTCCCTGCTGGGCTCTGCTGGGCTCCGTGGGCTGTGCTCTTTTTGTTTCATGAAAAATATTTCTCTCACTCACACACTAAATCAAATAAATATTAAATATTATTTTTGTGTTTCCCAAAAGGTTGATTCTGTTCATCTGGACGTTTTCAGTGTGGTCATCATCAGGTGGCGTCTTCAGTCTCAGCTGACTGCAGGTGTCAAACCTTATAAACAGGACATTTGCACAATAACAGCCCACTGAAGGAACAATGGGAGGTGGGGTCAGTTTATGATCATTGATATGCAAACTGTCATCAACAACCATGAGTACCATTCACAGAGAGCAGGGGAACGGCTGCAATCACAGCATTGTACAATGGTGACAGATGGACCCTTAGGCCCCTCCTCCATTCAGAGGTGGGCTTTCCCTTTTCACCACTAAACAATAAGCAGGACACATGACTGGAGCTAAATGTATTTATTTGGTTTTAGGCATTGAATTTGATGGAGCAAAGAGAAAGGGTGGTGTAAAGCACAGAGCTCAGACAGCTGGAGGTCACCAACATGCTTCTTTCAGTCGGAGGCTTTTCTCTGAAACACTCCTGAGTTTGAACTAAGAACCTAAATAAAATCCTTCTGCCCTCCAAAACACAAACAGGACCGTTTGCAACAGTTTGTGCTCCAAAGGTTTTCTCTTTGTGTGTATTTATTGTGCATGTTTCTGAAGATATTTCTGTACAAGCACATCACAGGTGAGAAATAAAGCAGTTAGTGTTTGGTTCCATATTGTACCAGTGATGGATTCGCCACACGGACAGGCTGGGCTAAATAAATAATGTAATTATTGATCACAGGGTCAGATCAGACAAATCGCTGGATAACAAAGCTCTGTATGCTTTGGCCCGGGTGAGCCACAGGTAGTACTGACACGGAGCAGAATACAGGATTAAATACAGTCAAATGTATTGTGTCTCTGTGTTCTTCTGTTATTGTGTCACTAGGACAGTTTATTCTGTGTAGCTGTGAAAGTGAGCGAGTGTTTAATAGGCTCAGAGTCAGTGTCACTGAAGAACACTGAAAGTCACAGCATGGTGTCCACCTGCTGCCTGTCTGCTCTGCATTTGCACACCTTTCATGTTGACCGGAGGACAGGCCCTCAGTCTCACCAGGTTAAAGCTCTTTGTAAAAATATAAGAGTAGAATACAAAGGTTTGGGGACGCTGAAGCACTTAGAATTATTAAAGCATTGTTTCTCCCTGGTTCTAGCAGCCAGTCTCTACTTCTCTACATTTTTCTGCCTTTTTGACCTTTTTCCTTCTAGTCGCTGCCTTTGGGCCATGTGTGAGTTTAATGCCTCAAACAACAGAAAGCTCACAACACTTGCTCGAAGGCTATCTCAAAGTAATGTCTAACAAACTTTTCCACGTCACTCTCACATGTATCAGAGGGAGAAAACATCTGAAAGGTCGTTGACTCTCATAACAATAATATTAATAATAATCAAACATTCGTTTTGGCACCGTTTCCTGTCACAGCAGGAAGAACAAAAGAAGCTAACATGTTCCTCTCAAATGGCACTACACACTTCATACTACAAAAACACTTTTTTGGTATCACATTTGTTTCACAGCTTTCATCTGCAACAATGGAAATGAAGAGAAAAGCCTTATTTCTTCTGGTGGTGTGAGCAAACCTTTAACACTCATGGGGTCGACTGGTGAACCTCGAGGGAGGGAAACCATTATCGTTAACGTGTCAGAGTCAAAGCTGGATTTTCCCAGTCGTTCTCGAATCACTGGGATTGCAATGCAAAAGGAAAAAAGTGATAATGTTTGCTTGCAGGACATTGATCGTCCTACGATATGCGTGTTCATTTTGACACAGTAAGAAACTCGTGTGGGTTTCATGATACAGCCTACAATTAAATAATTTCATGCAAAGAGCCAAACTGTGAGTAAGAACAACACAAAATCACAGTTTTCTTCTGTGGCTGCTGATATTCTTCTGAACCGAGAAAGAAGAAGACTTATGAGCTGAAAGCATTTCTTCACACTGCGTCTGCCCTCGAGGTTCAACCGCTGCTGGCTTTTACATATTTGTGCTATTTGGTCACATATTTCTTCAACATATTTGGCAAAAACTCAGCTAAAAAACAATCAGTATTCCTCATGGACATACAAAATTATTCAACATATCTTACATCTTCATATAGAGACATTTAAAAGTTCGAATCAGTGAAATCTGTGTCGCTCCGCCTGGAGAGACTCGAACAAAAGCAAGAAAACAAACGATGTTTAAAGCACAGGTGTCCCACTTCCACGAGGAACAATCCAAAACTCAAAGTAAACCTATATTCTATAGTAAGTTTGAAATGAACACAAAGAAAACCATGAAATCTTTATATCTTTGGGTTTCATTCATCTTGGTTTTCATAAAAACTTTTTGGATAGGCGGCCAGTGTGAAACGTGGCGCTCGTCTGTGCATCCGGGCATGTGGCACAGTGAACGTCGGAGTCACTGAAGTCCCAGTTGACCAATTTGGCATCTAGAAAGTCAGCTTGGCAGCGTGGCCTCATCATTTTTTGGATTCAGTTATGCAGATTAACAAAGACAAGCTTCCCGTTTTGCTCGGTGGAGAGAAAAAGAGGACGCCTGGGTTGTTTCATCATGTTGTCCACGACATACTTCCAAATATGTCTTTGGAGGAAAAGCACGAACATCTTCTGATGTCACAAAAATGGAGAAATTCCACCAAAAGCATAAGAAGCTGAGGCTTGATGGAGGCTGAGACTGATGCTGCAGAGCTCCACATGCTCCTGCACAGTTCGGTCTGTGACTCACACCGGTCAGGGAGATGCTCACTGACCAGAAGCCTTTGCTTTTGGATGAGGTAGGCTAGCATTAGCAGGCTCGGGCTAACTATAGAAAAGATGTTCCCATCAGAGTGAGGTAGCTTTCTTTGGAAATGAGCAGCTTTGGGTGGAAGGAGCTGAGTTAACTGGTTCACACGACTCTTCCTAATGGCTTGTAATAGAAAATAGTTTCTCATCACACCGTCACCTCTGGAAGGTGTTCACAAAGGCCGCTATGTTTCTTCTTTTCCTTACTGTAGAGGAATAAAAGGCAAAGTCAAGAGTTTGTCACCACAGAGTGACGAGACCGTCTCCGTCAGGGTCGAGTTTTTGGCTTCATGCGAGGTTTAAAGTCCACATCATCACGTGTCAGTTTATCAGTGGCGATCTGAGAGGTAGAATATTTTGGTTTCCACTGAAAAAGTGACAGAAATGTTTGTGGCGCGAGGCAGGACACAATCTGTGGTGACAACGGTTTTCAAAGGCTTTCTTCACGTGCACAGGCACGTGCACAGGCAATAAAGGCAATAAGCTTTGGTTTGAGGGAGGGAGTGGCTACTCTCAGGTTATTAGCAGCAGGTCTGGGGACACTAATGGTATGACTGAGCCTAACAAACCAAAGGTGGTGCTCTTTGGTGGGAGGTTCCTAGTGAATGGCTGACTGCTGGAGGACAGGGCAGGGGTGTGGCTGTTATGACATCACTGACCAGTGTTAGCCAGTGCCTGTGGCGTGCAAACCTGACGAATGTTGATCAATGATAACCTGGCAGACCACCTGCTCACAGGACAGAAGAGCACAACAGGAAGGGGACAGAAGAGGACACGTCACAGATCAGAAGCATGCATGTGCACTGCATCGCTGTGAGGCTGCACAAACAAGTCAGCTTTTCTCTTTGAGAACTAGAATCATTCAACAACATGTTTGTAACTCTTTTTGCACAAGAAGCTTTTCTCCAAACGTTTTAAGTAGAATGAGAAAAGCTATTGAGCAGATGCTTTTTTTAGCTGGATCCATGTGTTTCTATTCTGTGTAAGGATGAAACACCAGCTGCAGTCAGTGTGAAAGCTTCACAGTGGCAGCTGATCTAGTCTGCAGTCACGGTTCCACAGCTGTCTCACGAACTTTACGCTTTATTAGGAAACCTCGTGACTTTGAAGAGGGACAAACAACTCCTCTTCATGTCAGCTGAGTTTGGTAGTTAACCTGACTCAGCCGTCTGTGGTGGATGATGGAGTTAAAAGCACTAACATGTGAGCACCTTTAAATGTGTCTTATTATTATTAGTATGCATGAGGTAAGATAAAGCGTGTACCTGAGATTCTCCTCTGGGGAGGGCCTCTCCATCTTTAGGGATGCCAGTGTGCACTGGTTGGATCCTCGATGGAGACCAGCTGTCCTGAGTCCCTTTACTGCAAAACAGACTGCAAACCAGGCCCAGCTGTGAGTGCGTATGCTGCACTGAGCTACATGTGATCATCAGTTAACAGGGATGAACTCTATTTATAAAATGAGCCAAAGAAGAACAAGAGAACGTGCACAGTGCATGGATGCATACTTGCGACGGTATCCAAACATGAGGAAGAGAACACAGAAGATGATGCAGGCGGTGCCGATATGGATGCCGATGACAATGCTGCCCAGCGAGGCCTCTCCGTCCCTGCACTGACACAGGCGGTCTCCTCCTGGAAACAAACCAAATATTACTGATGAACGTCCTCGTGGCTCAAACACAGCAGAGCCAGGTTCTGCCTCACTGTCGGTGCGCTCTTTGACAGCATGACCTTCACATGTTTTTCAACTTAACCTGTCATAAATCATAAATCCTCATTTCTTCCTCGTGGTGCATCGTGCTTGTATTCTCATGAAGTTTTGTCATATTACACGTTTATTTTGTTGTAGTTTGTACACATCCATGAATGAGTGCTGCAGGGTTAGTGGTGTCATTAGTTATTAAAGCTCTTTCTACCATTCAAATCTCTCACCAAACCCGCTTTTTTCAGTGTGTTTCCACAAATCGATTTTCATTTACTGATAATCGTTTGCAGTGTCTGCAGGAGCTGTTTGTTGCTGGAGTCGCAGACGTGTGCCGACACTCACCGGTGCTTTGGTCTCTCGCGCCCTCCTCTGCGAGTGACACCAGCCTCTTGGAGCAGTCGCTCTCTCCGTTCCCATTATAGGCAACCAGTTTGATTTCATACACTGCACCCGGTTCTAAAACAGATTCAGACGAGCTCAAACACGGCGTTGTATAAAACTGAACAGAGGGAATAAAGGGACTGATGATGGACACAGATGTAAGACAGACAGGGCGGGACATTTTCAAAGGTGAGGACTGCTCAGAGTTTCATTTAATGTTGGATCTGGCTGTTGCTGAGTCGTGTGTTAGTGAAAAGTCTTACTGGTGAAGTGGTTAGTTTGCAGTACTGTGGTTACAGTGTGTCTATGTGCACACTTACCCAGGCTCGACATGGTGTGGGCATTAACGTAACAGGGCAGCTGAATCGGGCTCTGGTACTCAGCGTGGGGGACCCTGCGGTACGACAGCCTGAAGCCCTCGACCATACCGGCCTTAGTGGGAAGTTCCCAGAGGACCTGTACGGCGCTGGAATTTAACACCTTGGTGAAGTAGGTAGGTGGAGCAGGCACTGCATGGAGGCAAAAGGACAGTGGTCAACTGGAAAAAGGCATTACTCACTGTGCTAAAGAAATGATAAAAACCAGTTTGGAAGACTGATCCCTGCTGGTCTCACTGTTTGGTGGTCTTACCGCCCCCTAAAGTAGTCACAGTCACAGTATGGGACTGCTGACTGGCTCCCATGGGCGAGTAGGCCTTCAGGTAAAGAGAGTAGGTGGTGGCTGGCTCCAGGTTGGTAACGTCGTGCTGAAAGTTGCCTTTACTGATGGCTTCCTGCAGCTCCAGACTGTCAGCCTCTAAATAACACACACACACACATTATGAGACTTAAGATCATAAGTTAATGGCAGCATATGTGTGTGTGCTCACACTCACCTCCTATCTTGCGGATGTGCAGCACGTAGCCGATGATGCTCTCAGTGACGTTGGTGGGCGGCTGGTCCCAGCTGATCTGCAGGGCGTGCGTGGACACGGCTTTGGCCGTGAAGCCTCCTGGGGCATCGGGCAGATCCTTACCCTGCGCCACGGCCAGGCGGGCGCTGGCCTGGTTGGTACCGGCACTGTTCTCGGCAATGCACTGGTAGATAGCCTCGTCTTCCGAGCCGATACGGGTCAAAGCCAGAGTGCTGTAAGGACAACATACCCAACGAGTAAGCTGCTGTTACTTCACTGCGTGGGAAATGTGATGGTTCAGCAGTGAAAGCAAGTGTTACACGTACTGCAGCTCCATCTGCTCTGCATCTAGCTGCTCTCACCTGTCAGTATTACTGTACTACTATATCTCTTGTATCTTCTCCATTGCAGAGTGACCACATGACTGCTAACACTGTGAGAAACACAACTTTGAGTAATGATTCTGGTCTCACTGGTAAGAAATGAATTCCTAGAAATGTGTCCTGGAAAAATGCTTTAAAATACATTTAGATGAGGATGCAGATGAGCCTGAAGGACTGCACATCAAAAGGTTCCAGTCAACAATCACAGAGGATTACGTTGGGATTTTACTCCTGGAATCAGTGGTGTTTATGGAAAATGTTGTAGTCTCCTGTGATGTTTCTGACACACTGTGACGGGGCTGAGCTCGGTGAGCGAGGACGGCACTGTCGCCTCACAGAAGGAGATGTTTTTGGTTTGAATGTCTCTGCGTGGAGACGGCACGTGCTCTGTATCTTTATGTGACCTGCTTGGTCGATCTCACTGTGACCGACACACACCGATCACATGAAGCCTTCGGGGTCAGACGCTCTGGACACAGCGCTGTCACTCTGTGGGTCAAGTGTTAAAGCTAAAAAGGTTGAAGTATATCAGAGATGGCGTTTTTGCACTCCCTGACTCACATACCTGTTGTTATTGGTAAGCTTGATGTTGTGTCCAGGCATCAGGACCTTGCCATTCTTCAGCCAAATGAGATGAGGCTCAGGGACACCCTGCGCCACACAGGTGAACACAGCACTGCCCCCTGCTGGTTTGGATACAGACTGTGGCCACTGCAGGAACTCAGGAGGAGCTGAGGTGGAACAGACGGAGGTGAGACCGAGAGCAGACAGCAAAACAGAATCACAGCGTAAACCTGAAGCACATCCCGTCCACTGTATGAATGCACATCGGACTGCAGAGGAGCATCTGCCAGGCTGAAGAGCGTTTAAAGATCATTCTGCTTCATTACAATCTGGCTCTTATTTTATTAGCCTTAATGCACCGCACAGAAAAATGCTGCAAAAGCACACAAAACCAAAGGGAGGTGTTCGTGGGGAGATGCTAGCGTGACGGAAACCAAAACATGTGAAGGACGGCCTGAGACACCCTTTAGAGAAGCGGACGGTGCTGTGACGATTCAGGTATCTCCCTGCCCCTGTGTGTGTGTGTGTGTGTGGGGGGGGGGGGGGGGGGGGGGGGGGGGGGGCATGCCTTACATGCCCAGTTATACTGAATAAACTTTATCAACCACCTGCACAGCTGTATTGACAGATTTACTGTTTGCTTATTGTTTTTCACGCGTTGGCCACTTGTGTGGTGTCCCGTTCCCTCCTGTTAACAGCAAACCTGATGTATGTGCACTAAAACATCACACCTTGCTGTTGTTGCTGTCCTGATACTTTATGCCTTCTACATTGTTTATTATGCTTCCAAGTAATGAGGAACATAACGCACAGGGACACATTTTATTGAAAAATGTTAAGGTTAGTGGAAGAATTATGGGCGTATTTTTTACTGCTGCTCTGCTTGTAAATGACTTATTCTGTCTCCTTCTGCCTCTCTGCCCTCCACGCCTACTCCTCCATCCAACTGTTTTCAGAGACATGTGTCCTTATTACTCCGGTCTAGGTCATGGGTCAGAGATCGCAGGTCATTCCCTCCCCCTTGCAACCCCCACCTGCCCCCTGTATTGTTGTCCTGCACGTTTTGTTCCCCCATATGTGGTCTTTGTCCCTGCATCCTGGCCACAGAACAACAGCTGATTTCAGCCGGACGATGGAAAGATTCACACATTTAACCTCCTCAGCTGACTCCACTATCACAAACACGGCAGACGTTTTCCAAAAGTGATTTTAGTGGAAACAGAACAAACTGAATTACAAACTAAATAAATGAATGAATACATCAGAGATGATGTATTGATAAATGATTTAGAGCGATGTGGAGCAGACAGAGCAGCTCAAACTGGCTCCAGTAGTAGCACAGTGAATATTTAACACACTATATTTTAAAATTTGAGAGACAAAAAGGACGTGAATACAAACACTGGTGTTTGAAAATGATCCTTGTTAAAGACGAGGCTTCACGGCATGTTTAAACCTTTCTGAGAATACAAACCATTTAGTTTTCATTGTGTGTTAATTTGGTTTTTTTTTAATTAAACAACTTAATTGATCTGAAAATAACTGAATTCAGTTTTTTACTTAATTCTACTGATTGACTTTTATTTTCCCAAAGTTTCATTTTCAGCAGCCTGTGACTGAGAACAGCTAACGAGCATCATTAGACTCAGAATATGGACACGTGCAGGGTGATGGATGAAAGCACGTCCACCCCCAACTGCAAGTCAGTCGGCCTCGCTCAGTCCCTCCCCCACCGAAGAGCCGGGGGCACAGACACCCCCCCTCACGCAGGGACAGGAGCCGTGCTAACTGAACACATCTTAGCTCACATATCTTACAGCTGGTTAACAATAAGTGTGGCCACAGGTCTGAGCATTTATCCACATTACCTGTCATGTAAGTGTAACATGTAAACTACTTTCTAAATGCCGATCATAAATCTATCTGTACTGGACACAGACACCTGACAGGCACAGTGAAGAAGTGTTGGACAGTCAGCGGTCAGTACTGAGGGGTGGGTGCTAAACAGCACGTCAGCGGTCCCCGTACATCCTCACCTTGTACCACGAGGCGTCCGAGTGCAGTGCGCCTCATCCTGGTGCCGGGCCGGTTGGCAGCGCACACATACACACCAGAGTGCTGCAGGGATACGTCTGAGATCATCAGGTTCCCTGTCCCGAGAACCTGGATGCCCTCCACCCCAATGGAGCGCCCGTCTGATGGACACACGGACACAGAAATAGTTCATGAAATCAAACCTTTGTGGCTTGTCAATCTTTTTTTCACATTCTGCTGGGATGCTACAGGGCTACCTAGCCTGCTCCAGGAAACAATGGGCCTTGGGTTTCCTGTGGCGATACACTCCAAGATGGCGGTCTGATGGACCGTGATGGTCAGATTCTGAGGTCCTGACAGGATCACGGGCTCCTTGTAGGTTCTTGGAGTCCCACCTGGAAGGTGAGGAGACACAAAAAGAGAGTATGGAACCAATGACGTCGGGACCTGTAATACACAGCACGTAGTATACAGCTGTGTTTAGTATATAATGCACTGGTTTTACTCCCAGTGACTGTTGACGTAGCCAATCAGCAGATTCATGTGGAAGTATCACAGGCAGTGTGTATGTGATATACGGTAAGGTCCCTACCATCACAGCCACGTGGAGCGGTCAGTGAGTACTTACATAAATGTGGGATTGTCCTTGTGGCTCTAAACTTGCAGCTTTGACATCACTGCATAAACCCTGCAGCACTGTTAACAGTGGAAGCGCCCTGCACACCTCAGATGTTATGAAATGTCGCATTAGAAACATTAGAAACATTAGAAACAACGTCGTGTTTGGGCTGAGGGCTGCTGCTGGGAACGACTCAGGTTGTGGTGACAGTTACATGGACACTCGTGTGATTGCAGTTCTACAGTCTCTGGTTACAGATCAAAGATGTGATCATGTACTCTTGGACTGTGCTCATGCAGGCGCTAACCCCCGCCGCTCATATCCCAGCCGTACTGTAACAGCTTGTACACTGAAGGGGATCACGAGTCCACCTACCAGTAACATTGAGCGTGGCTTCGTGGCTGTAGCGAGTGTTGGCGATGTTGGTGGCAACACAGTGGAAAACCCCTGCATCCGCCTTTCTCACACCGGTCACCTGGAGGATGCCCATTGGTAGGAGAGTGTACCTGGACAGGTAAGAGAAGCTGAGTGAAGCTGAGGCACTAAACATCATTATTAATTACTGTCTTGTCCTATACAATTTCCTATTCTGTCAAATTACAAAAGAGGTGAAAGGAAGGAAAACGTTCCCCGTCTTTCTTCTTAGAAGGAACGTCATTTATCTTTCCAATGAATTCTGCTTACACATGAACATTAGATGTAATGTGACTCAGGCTAACAGAAAAGCTACCAGAGCAGTTACATGTGGTCCTTTACACCACATATCACAGTCCACGATACATGTGTTGGTGTGTGTTGAGTCTGAGTTTACCTGCTGTCAGTGGTGTTGAGCAGCACTCGGTCTTTTTCCCATGTGATTCTGGCTTCAGGTACTCCATTGATCTGACACTGGAATCGAGCGACTCCTCCCTCGTCCACAGACATTGATGCAGGGTGTGTGTGGAACTTAGGAAGGGCTGGAGAGCCAATCACACAAAGAGAAAAACAGTGCACACAACTGTTGAACATCTCTAAAGTCTGTGGGAGAGTCAGGCAGCGGGACATGTGTGGACTGTGTCTGTGATTAGAAATAGCTTTATGATCTATTTAATGGTTTTTCAGCCTTTCTTACTGTAAGACTGACCTTTTTACATGCAGCTTGTATGCTAACCATGTTCCTGTGAGTAATATAAATTTGGTGCCCACACACAACCATGCTGGGCTGCTTTGAAATGGGGCCATAACCAATAAGGCGGAATTCAATAGATATGCCCTGTAAATGAGATAGCATCACCATGGCAACTCCTTGCATTAAAGCAATAGCACCTCAAGATAATAAGCTATAATTCTGCTGGTTTAACCATAAACTCCGTGTTTACTGGTTAGAACAAAGGCGTGAGCTCCAGGAGGAGGAGTGTACACTGATGCACGATGTGTGTGTGTGTGTGTGTGTGTGTGTGTGTGTGTGTGTGTGTGTGTGTGTGTGTGTGTCTGTGTGTGTCTGTGTGTGTGTGTGTGGGACAAAAAAAGTCAAAGTACCTTTGACAGAGAAAGGTCAAAGTGCACTGACTGCAGCAGAGCCTCCGACGTTCACACTGAAATTCTTGGGTTTTCTTTCCTTCTCTGACTGCTTCGCTTTAACTAAGATACATTAAACCAGCACTGCAAAGCTTCAGTTCTCTTCACAGACTGATTATAAACAGCTGGGAAATCTAATGTGACGTTGGGTGTCTCAGCATCTTATCAAACACATCAACATTGCTGTGTAACACAGCATTAGTGGTCTTAAAAACCTAAATCTGGGTTGCTTTGTTTAACCCGCCAGATCAGAATGCTCCTCCTCAGTAAGCATGCTCAGACTACCCAGCACCACCTTCCTGCACCTAAATGTGTTTTCCTAACATATCAGCTGCTAAAGCTGTGTGTGTTGCTGAAGTATGTGGAGGTTATAACATTCTTGTCACTTACATGCGAGGTGGACTTTGGCCTTGCGGCTGACGAGCAGGCCGTAACGGTTCTGTGCAGCGCAGTCGTACTCGCCCATGTCTGCATCGCTGCCCTCTCTGCGTTTCTGGAAGCTCTTTATTAGCAGCGTGCCATTCTCTTGCACTCGGACCCGTGGGGTACTGGGTACGGGCGCTCCGTTCTTGCGCCACGTAATTGCGATGGGTTCCTCACCCTGGACCTGACAGTCCAGCATGAGTGGCCGATCCCTCACCGCAATCACGTCCGTGGGTTCTACCAAGAAAGAAAGCTCAGAGGCCCAGCAGCCGCCTGCAGACAGAGGAAAGACAAAGCTTTTACTGTCATTTATTTATTCTGTCAATAAAATGTATTTTAACTATAATTTCCAACCCAATACAGATCCTTTGTGGATGTGCTGGGAAGTTTTAGAGGGGCCAAAACATCTTATTTATATTTATACAGACGTTCCTCTGAGGTGGGCTCACTGTAGTGCATTTTTATGACATCGTAACAGGAAGCATAAAAGAAAATAAAGTAAACATAAAGTGAAACTATCTGGATGCTGGTTTAGCTCCGTGTGTGAGCAGGTGATCACCTGCTGTATGGCTGTAAAGCAGCGTCTTTCCCAGTCATCTCTACTTACTATCAAAACAACGTAACTGCCTCTGGATGCAGGCTGGCTGGAAGAGCACTGGAGGTCTGATTGTGTCCTATTGTAAACTATCTGAAACAGAGGCTGTCACCACTTCCTGACTCGTATTATAGCTGAATAATATCCAAATAATCACACACAGCTCTAACTCGATAGATGACACATGAGGATTTGTGGCCTGTGATGATTTTATTGCAGTCACAGTGGAGGCTGAATGCCACTGAGCTGTGGAGGAGAACACTGGTGGGGTCGCTGGGGTCAAGTTGGGAGACCCTCCATTGAAGCAGGGCCCAGTAGAGACAATGGCATTGTGACCATGCTTATTTGCACCCAACCCCCAGTTATTTCTTCTTGTTGGCCAACACACAACCAGGGCACCATCTGCCCTTCTTGTGCTCCCCTCCACCCATCGACTGTCATTCATATCTGTGTCTGAGGTGACTTTCCCATGCTCCCAGATCTCCTTCCTCGCCGTGTCCCGTCTCTGCGGTGACCTCGGGAAACCTCAGTCTTTGTTGTTTTCTTTCAGCCTTCAGAACATTGAACCCTTGCATTGGCCGCCCTCTGTCCGGCTGTGAAGCATTAGCATTAACTGCACTTGAACTTGCAACATATCTCATCATTGTCACCGAGGATTCTCGTAACCGGCTGGACTAAACATGCAATATAACCGGACACAGCAGCCTGAATTTGAACTTTAGTCTGTTTTTGGTATTTAATTGCAGTTCAGTGTGTTTAATTTGTCAGTGTACGTTTATATTCTCACAGACTTTGAGTTTTCATCTAACACAGGTAACATATAAGTGCACTTGCACGCAACACAGAAAGCTCTTCCTGTCTATCATCATTCAGCAGATATGTCAAAAAGAAGAAGCTGCAGAACTCAAGTCTTTACTCGTTTATTCAACGTGTAACGTCCAGCATCTGCACCTTGTAGTGAGGATGAGTCACAACAGAAACTCGACATCACTAAAACCGAAGACGAAAAGTTCCCAGTGTCCAAGCTCAGACTGTGCGTCCACTGTGAGATCGTGTTTGCGTCACGTCAGCGTGCTTGAATGTAACCTGCAGTGGGAGCATTAACGTGCTGTTGCTAACTGCCTCTGTCCCAGGTCACTCAGTCATGACCTCGGGTCCTGTTCACTGAAGCACAAACATGTCATAGACTGCATCATGACATAGTTTGGTAATATTACATATAAAGTGGACATGTTTGCTGCAGTTCCTCTGCACATGAACAACCCTGTGATGTTACTGGCGTTCAGGTTCTATCAGAGTCAGATTTTAAGCCTTCCACGGAGCTGCTGCCCGTCCTCATGATCTCTGTCGCTGCTCTGACTGATGTGCTGAATCCAGAAACGAGCGTCCGCCCTCATGCTAATGAGAAATCTCTCCCTCAGCAGATGCTCTTAGCAGATACGACTGTGGCTCTTCGGGTCAGCTGTCTCGGGGGGGTAACAGCCCCTCTGAGATCCACATCTCTCAGGCCTAGTGGGGGCTCGCACCTTCTGTGGGTTTAATTATTGAACACAGTGTCTCAGGCTGTGATATCTAATAGTAAGTATTATAAGCTATGTCTTAATCAGACTGCTGAAGGCCTGTCACAGAAGACCAATGAGGAGTGCCAACAGCACCTGAGAACATGTGTGTGAAAGTGATCAGTGTGGGGTCAGCCTTCAGATACCACGACCCACTGTGACAGGACTAAACTTTATCTGAGCCTCGAGCAGAAGACGTCTGAGTCTCACACTTTGGTCAAAGCTGAGTTTTGATCTCATCTGTGGGAGAAAAGTCTCCGAACGTTGTCTGTTCGTTTGTTCACAGTCAGTGAGTCATAGACCACGGCGTTTCCACATGCAGTCTCTGTGCTGTCGTCACAGAGACAGTGAAGTGTTTTGGAACAAACCCACTGTAATCATCTACCTGAGGTGGTGACACCTCCATGTGCTGTTTGTAACCTTTGAAGCATCCGAGTCATCAGCGACTCATCAGCAGCTGTCTAACGTTGTGTGGTCCGGTGTGCACCAGCAGTGTGCACCATCACCAGCAGCTCTTTATGAATATGATGGTAAATAGTGTCCTGTGTTTGTCCAGCAGACTGGTCTCTCCTCAGAGGTGAGCATGCCCCCCCACAGGCATCATCCAGCCCCCTTAATGTCACCTTTGTGTCACATTGTTTCACACTGTACAGTTAACATGAGGTCTGTGTCCGTGTGGACGTGACAGAATATCAAATACAGTAATATTTTGTATAAACTGTTATTAGAAACATGTCCATTGTTGTTATTGAGCTTCATATCAGCAAGAAGCTGGATAAATATCACCTGATCATCTGTCGAGAAGGAAGTGAAACAGGATTCAATAACTCTTTTTTTTCACTCCTCGATACGTAAACCAAGTCACGTGGAGCCAAACGGCCTTTTAATAGCATTTCCTACACGACCTTCTGTATATCGGTTACATTATGAACTGAACAAAACAAAGAATAATAAACACGCTTACATCATCACAAAGAGACGTGAAGCACTGAGCTGACTGAACCAGAGGATTCATATGAGGTGAGCTCTGTGCCCTGAGCCGCCGACACCACAGAAGCAGGACGATGAGCTACAAAGACTTTAATAATTAGAAGATGAAGGCTGCAGTCAAACTGAGGTCGCAGCATCACAGACTGCTGAGTTCAATCTGTGAACTTAATGAGATTTTTTAAGGGAGGAGGTTGTCCAGCAACCCCCACACTAGCACCCCATACTTGTGACCTCAAGCCCTTCAAGGGCCGCAAGAGTCAGAGGTGCGGAGGATGGATATGTAGATGAGGGTTGGGGGGTTGGTACCCCAGCCTGAGCGACCCACCCGGCCTTCTGCTGCTATTGTTTAACAAGACTGCTGCCCCTGAACTTCACACGTCTCTCACCAGCCCCCCAAAGCCCCTAATTTATAGTACAAACACACAATCAAAGTTTTGCCTCCAAACACTGACAACGTGGATTTTACTAGATGTGACTGAACTAAACATGAACATGCTGAGGCCTTTTTCCTTCATCACAGTGAAGCAGACATAAAATCTACAGTGCACTCCAGCTGTTGTTGTGATTTGGCACTATATAAATACAACTGCATTCAAAGCCTTGAGTTTGTATTTAAACTGTGGTTTTCCAATGTTGTTTAAAATGTGAGGCCAAAAGAGATGTTGGTGGAGTCCATCACTGAGTCAGAGGGCGAGTCTGTGTGAATGACACATGGTGCAGTAAGAGCTTTGAGTGCATATAATTTACCAAACTCAGCAACACCAGAAGACGAGCAGAGGAGACAGCTAGAGTACGATCACAGAGCAATCCACAGCTCAGCAGAACAGCCTCACAACATTTAACCGAGTGAGGATCGGCGTCGACGTCGTGAATCAAAATGTTCTCATGTAACCTCAGTGGAGTCCTTAAACTCCACTCAGTGTAACCGTACAGTGGATTTCAAAGTTAGCACCAGATTAAATGAACCTGCTGAGGTTACCTATGTGTAGCCTAATGCTGAGGCCTCTGCATCCAAGGGGTCGATTTTTAATAGGAAGTCAATCAATAAGCTTCAGCTTGTAGTCACATTTGATAAGCTTTGTGTTCACACATGAAGGCTGCAGTAAGCTTTGTTTACTCCAACACAACAGTGCTCATCAGACTGAACACAATGATGATGATGATGATGCACCTCTACAAAATAAATGCATTCTTTGATTTGAAATCAGGAGACTTGAAATACGCAGGAAGCTGAATCTCCTGGTTGTCCTGCTTCGTGTTATAAACTCGACACAAACAGAAATGCAGTGACGTGTTTCAGCTTCAGCAGCTTTATTCACATCTGTGGATATCTTCCAAAATGATTGTGTTTTAGACAGGAAGAGATATTTTACTGTGAAAGGGAGGATTAACTGTATAACAAGAGGTACGTGTCAAGTCCATCGTCTGAGCTGAAAACATCAGCAGCAGATCTGATCCAGGAGCAGCGCGACAGAAACGAGGGACAAAGCTTTTTAAAACCTTATTACGGCCCAAAGTCAGGCTTTCAACTGAAGCTGCAATGATGCTGTTTCATGTCATGATGCACAGACACACGACCTGCTGGTAGAAAGAGTTTGTGTGCTCGTTACAAGCAGCTTCTCACACGGCGATGCTGAAGCTGAAAGACGACTTTGCAGCCTTTCATCTGCTGTCTCTGAGACTAAGTGGCACAGCTGTGCTACTGTACTGCATAGAAATATGCAAAACAAGCCAACCAGTAAATGAGACTAACTGGGCCCACGAAGGCGTCCGTGCACGGTGGCAGGGCACGCTGCGGTGCTGTAAACATTAGCCTGAGCGCTCCAGAGATTGAGATGTTAGCATTTGTATGTTTCACTGCAGGAAACAGAGCCACCGCACACCCAGTGTTGTGGATTAAACCAGTGGGAGCGTGAGGGGGTGGAGGGCACGGTCACAGGCAGCTGGAGGAGGATTACCTTATAGTCACATATCTTTAATAAAGGCTCAATGTGAGCGCAGACTGCTGCAGTGTTATGGAGATGAAGGTGTAGGGGTGAGGTCAGTGAAGACTGAGCACTTCTGGAAGGCTATTGTCCTTCTGCACCCCCCACCCCCTCACAGACTGCTCTGGTGACCCAGAAAGCCGACCCCCTCCACAGGGTCAGAGGTCACTGACTCTCAGCTCGTTCTGTGTCTGAGTTAAGGACAGAAATCAAACTGCTTTGAACCTGCTGTGCTTTCCCCAAAAACAACCTTTGTCTGCCTCCAGCTCTGCGGGTTTCTGCATCACGACTAAATATCAATGAAAACTTCATTTTTTCTTTTCGATTTTCAGTTTTATTTGAATGTGTAGAAAAACAGATGTGTGACATGTGTGTGCTGTGAATAGAAAGAGCTGATGTTTGTTAGTGGAATATTAATAATCACCACCCAAACCGATATCCATTCAACGCTGAACCATCAGCATTGAAAATGTGTTGATTGGAGGAAAAGTGGGATAATTTACATCAAATCTGAAACAAGTTTAGTTATATCATCGGTTTATTGTCGTCTGACAGGCTCGTGTTCCACAACAATACAGATATTTACTGTATTTATTGTAAAGGATATTAATATTGTGATGTTTTATAAAATGCTGTCGATCTTTTGCATTGAGTCACTTCCACACTCACCAGCTTTGAGTGGGATAATCCACCGGTCTGTTTCCACACCGTGTGACTCTCGTGTCCACCTGCAGCCTGTGCAGGTCTTTATGAAACTTAAGGACAAACTAACAGCAGCACTTGTTTATCAAATGATAAAATGTTCTGCCCATTAATCACCATGAAACTGAACTAACATCAGTGTACAAACTCATAGAGCAGCAATCACACCATAATGTGTGAATATGTGCCAGTGCAGGTGAAGAGAGGTCTACTCACTGAAACTGTAGAAGGCTGTGAGCCAGCTGAGGAAGGTCACTAGTTTCATTCTGGTCTCCAGCGTCCTCGCTGTTAAAGCTTCTCACCCCAAAATCCAAAAGAGGAAAAAGTCAAGCGGACAGCCAGTTCCTTCTGTGCTCTCCTGCTCCGTGTGCTCTTTGGTAGCATAAACGGACACGTTCTGTGTCAGATCATTGCTCTTCTTCTGTCCTTCTCAGCATTCAGCCTCCACAAGGTTCATGTTCAAAGCTACTCTGAGCATCGGGCGAGGAAGAGACCTGAGCGTGGACAGAGCTCATTAGTTATTCTGCTTCATTGTTGTCAGTGAATGGACACTGACACCGAGGTTTGTGGCAGGTTTGCGTCCTACCAACCAATCACAGCCCCAGAGCAGCAGAAGGGTGGTAGCTCAGCCCGGGAGCCGTGATTGATAATCGTTTACAGAGAGCTCTTCTGGTTGGCCGCTGCCTGATGGACCAGCTGTGGCCTGAGCCGGAAACCCCTCGCAGGCTGGCTGGAGTTGTGATCCTGGGATACTTCCACCGGACATAAAGAATCGAGTGGAAAATACTCACAGGATTCACAGGAAATATTGTTCCCATGACGAACATGTTTGTGCAGACTAGAAGCTTTTAGCACACGACTTTTTTAATTGGCTGAGCTTTGCTCGAGTCAGGCTACAAACATATTAGGTGAAATGTGACAGTTGTTACTTCGACCTTTAAGTCAGTCGTGGGACAAATGTTAGAATCTTGAACCAATGTTTTATGTACAGACGTGTAGTTATAGACTCCATACGAATCACTGGCTGAAGACTGACTTATTTATCAGGAGTTTTACAGATTAGAGAAGAGTCCCGTCTTCTCTTGTTGCCTCACAGAGAATCGAGCTGCTCAGCCGTCCTGGTTCTTCTGTGCCACGATGCACAAATGTGTTGAGGCCAGCTCACCACACGCACGCACGCACGCACGCACGCACGCACACACACACACACGCACACACACACGCATAGATGCAGTGTACACTTTCACTGTTCTGCTGAAATATTTAAAAAGAGAATATCTCTTTACGATATTTACATAGCTTTAAGCATTGAAGCTGCCATAGGGACCAATGCAACAGTATCTTTGTCTCTGTCTCTCTAGTCTGGAGATTTATTTGCTATTGTCTTCGCAGGGATAGTTGTCCCATCAAATTCACCCCAAAATCAGACTGATAAAATGGTCAGACTCTAGTGTGTTAACATTCATGCTTAGACACAAGATTAGATACGTTTAGAGAAAGAGAATGAATAAGATTTGTTCGGGTGGATTTCTAGGACAACAACCTCTCGTCTCTAAAAACAACAGGACAGCATGTTTGCTGTCCTGTGGACAGACAAGACCAAAGTGAAGATGTTTGTCCATAATTCACAGCAGCTGTTAGTACGGCAATGGAAACATGATTTCTGCAGCTTGCAGTCACTGGGTCAACCAATGACAGGGTCATTTACAGTTTTTTACAGACGCTAGGACACATGTCTCAATACTTAGGTCACGTTTGCAAAACTCCTCACACAGTGAGCACAACAGAAGTCTATGTGGGCCAAACTGAGGACCAGTTATCATTGTTTTGGCACAAAATGCATTCAATGACTACATCTCTCAAATGTCATGAATTATCTTCTCACTCAGACACAACAACTGCCAAAAAGCTTTGTACGTACAGGACATTTTGCATGTGCTTACATACTGTTTTCAAAACTGTTAAACTTATGGTCAAAACAATAACACAATGCAAAACTTAAAAAGACAGCAAAACTCAACAACAATATTTTATTGAAACATATTTTACAGTTTTTCTCAGTCGCTTTGGT